ATGTTTGTGTGTAGTGTGTTCGTGTGTGTGTGTGTGTGTGTGTGCATCCGCATCTATAGCCTGTTATTGTCTCATTATATCGCACTGTCAATGAATTAAAGTAAATATATAAGTGGTCATGAACACATCTGTCCATCAGACAGAGGGCTGCTGTGCCTCCTGTCATCATTAATGGACGTCTCTTTAAAATGACCGCTCAGAGGAGAGGAGTTCTCATTTCTCTAACCGCCTGCTGCTTCCCCTCCTCTCTCCTCGGTTTCCCCTCCTTGAGTCCTCCGCTCGCATCTCCTGTGGGCGGGACTAAGTCTCGAGGATAGGAGTTGAGGAGGGGAAATTAGAGTATTGAGAAGCCTCTCTTGTCTCTCTTCAGATTCATGAAATCCCTCGGGACGATGGTCAGTTTATTCTCCGGTAAAGTGACGGAGAAAGTTGTAGTGATACAGGAGCTGTCACTCAAACACAGCGCAAAGGATCATGGGAAACGTAGTCCACAAACCCCAGCGTCGTTCGGACTAAAAACAGGGGTGAGTGTTGCAACAATAAAGCTGGAATAAATGAAGTTTTTATCTGATTTTTTATTTATTGTTGCTCTCCAGGCGTATCGTTCGCTCAGATCCATGGTGGAGGCGGAGCTTAAAGAGGGCGTGGTCGACTTTTCCCGCCGCTCAGACTCCGGCTGCCGGACGCTTCTTCGACTTCACCGATCGCTGCTCTGGCTGAAACTCATGCTGGAGGGTTTGGCTGAAGGACCGGACGCCGACGGACAATTCAAAACACCTGGAGAGCTGTGCAGGTGATGCTAACAGGCTAAAGCTAACAGCTCGTTGTATAGTTCAAAGAGGCTAAAGCTAATAGCTCACCATTTGATTACAACAGGCTATATTTTTTATCTCATAGCACTATGCGAACAGCTCCCAGGTCGGGATGCTATGCTAACAGGCGTAATATAGCAACTCTTGACTGATGACATTATGCTAACAGTTCCCAGCTTATGCTAAAAGGCTAACGTTTAAAGCTCCTAACACGTCCCAGGTCATGACATCATGATTTTAAGTGTGTTGTTTTAATCTTTACATTTTAGCATTTAAAGTGTCTTTGAGTACCATGAAACCCACTCTATAAACCTGTAAAGAAAGGAAAATAAAAAAACAGAATACATTTTTTTTTTATATATATAGCAGATATTATTCTTATTATATTATAATTTATAAAATTATATAAAATTAAAATGTACAGGATTTAACTGATTCATTACATTATAATAAAGAAGTTTATTATGTGTTAAAAAACATCGCTCTAAAAATAAAATGTATTATTATTGTTGTTATCATGCTAACAGGCTTAAGTTAGCCGCTCTATGCTATGATACTAACAGTTCCCAGGTCATTACATAATGCTAACACGCTAAGGCTAACATGATATAATAATAATAATAGATAACATTTATTATAGCTCTTTCAAGGAACCCAAGGCCGCTTTACATTGTGTAAACAAACAAAAAAGATTATTGACACAATATGCTTCCTTCCCCTCTCCCCCTCAGAGACGCTTACATCGTGGCCCTGGCCCCCCACCACCCCTACATCATGCTAACATGCTAATGCTAACACAATATATTTCCCCCCTCAGAGACGCCTACATCGTGGCCCTCGCCCCCCACCACCCCTGGGTGCTGCGTCAGGCGGCAGAGTTTGTGTTCCTCGCCCTGCCGGAGCGACAGTACTTCCTGCAGCTGGTGTGTGTTCGGACCCAGCAGGAGGCCATGCCCGTCCTGCAGATCATCATCAACGCTCTGGAGCTCGTGCACACGCGAACGCAGCGAATCCTCGCCCAACACGACATGCTCGAGCTGCCCTGAACGCACCACGACAGACAAAAATAAACCAGAAACACGTGGAAAAAAAACTACAAATGTGGGAAATGTTCTTCTATTTATTTTGGTCACACACACATTATTTAACAGAATACAACTAGCTACAGAAGTAACATATGTACGGTAAATATTTGAGTAATATCTAAAATGCAAAACATGCACTTTAAGGCACCATGCTACACTCAGGAACACGTGGGATTTCAAAGTTTTGATCGACGTTTATCACTTTAACTAAACATGCATAGAAATAAGGATAGATGCCTATTTAAACTGTTGTTTTGATACAACATCGGATTTCCCACTTGCCCTGAATGCAACACACATGGTGAGAATATCATACTAACTTATTTAACGCTACAAGAAGTAAACGTGACGACTTTAACAGGAGTTTACCGTGAATGTTGCATGAGCTGTAAATACAACACACCGAGCTTTAAACTAAAAGTGTTTGTACAATGCAACCTGTTTCTTTATTATTAAACTCGCAATAAACTCCTACACTAAAAAAGAAAAAAAATTCTTGGTTTATAGAAAAGAGTAGAACATTTGTAGACATAAAAATGTGTTTCTAAATTCCTAATTTCTCTGTAAAAGTTGGCTATTGTCAAATCTCTTTTTAACAGAAAAAATACGTTTTCAGTTTAAATGCTACATGATTTTAAAAAGAACGTTTGTTTAAATTTAAACACATTTTTTGTCTCTAATTTTGAGATTTGGTTATTTTCTCTGTTTGATCTTAAAGTGATATTTTTTGGAACATTAAACACATCAGCTTGGACTCTCTAAGAGGGACGGACATTTTTCAAAAACTGCTCAGATTGAGGCTGGTTCTCAGTTTTTAAGGGCACGTTGCGTTCAGGAACTCCTCGTCTCCTCGGTGGTGGCTCTTCATGTGGGTCTTCAGGCAGTGGCTCTGAGTGAAGGCTTTCGCGCAGACGGTGCATTGGTAGGGTCTCTCTCCGTTGTGCGTCCTCATGTGAACGGTCAGGTGTTCCTGCCGCGAACACGCCTTCCCGCAGATGCTGCACACGAACAGCTTGATGCCCAGGTGGCCCCTCACGTGATTATTCAGATGCGTCTTGCGTTTAAAGAAGCGTCCGCACTCCTTACACTCGTACGGCGCCTCGTTCGTGTGAGTTCGCATGTGCGATTTTCTATAGCCGTTAGACATGAACCCTTTACCGCAGACGGAGCACGGAAACGGCCGTTCGCCTGAGTGCATATTCAGGTGCATCTTCAAACCGCCGTGGGTCACGAAAGTCTTACAGCAGATGTNGTAATTGTAATTTTTCCCTTATGCAACATCAAAGTATCACGATATGTATCGGTTGAGTATCGGTGTCGTTCAGTGGTATCGGTATCGTAAAAAAGTCAACGATATGCATCCCTACCCTCGTCATTAACCATTTGCAAATCCCCATTTTACTTCCTTTACCTCCTGAAATGTAAACCCTTAACTTATGTCTCTGTTAAACACATACAAGACTAACAATACACTTTAACAGAGTGAAAGGCAATCAGAGTATAAGACTATATGTTCTAAATGATTTTATGATAATTTGACACGACAATCTACACCTGTGCAAGAAGACATCCAACAAACTAAAGTATGTTTTTTATACTTTTCTTCTCCAGTCCTGTCCAGCATACAGACCCGTGCAGCAGCAACACATCCCAGGAACGGGAAGTAGAGACCCAGGAAGTAGAGACCCAGGAAGTAGAGACCCAGGAAGTAGAACCCCAGGAAGTAGAGACACAGGAAGCGGCAGAATCCAGCGATGACGAAATAGCAAACGAGGCGTCGGACGGAGACTGGAAACCCGACGCTGAGACGAGGGAAAGCGGCGCTAAGAGAGTGAAGTTTGGGGGTAAAAATCTGTGTAAAGTGTGCGGGATTTCATACATTCTCCTTGGAAGCCTCGTCAAACACGCCTGGAGCCACGTGGGCGAAGAAGAAGCGCCGTGCGTCTGTGGCGTCTGTGGGGACCTCTTCGAAACCTCAGAGGAATTAAAGTCTCATCTGAAAAACAAATACAAAAAGACCCACGAGTGCTCGTTCTGCAGGAAGTCCTTCCTCACTGTCACCGGGCTGAAGCGCCATGTCACGCTGCACACGGGCGACCGGCCATTTAAATGCGACGTCTGCGGAAAAGCCTTTGCACACGCCTCCAATTTAAGCATCCACAGATGGGTGCATCGAGAAGAGAAACCATACAAATGCGACGTGTGTCCGAAGGCGTTTGGATTAAAGGGGTCGTTTCAGGCTCACAGACGGCTTCACGGCAAGAGAGAGCGTTTCATCTGCCACGTTTGTGGGAAATCGTTATTAGACATGAGATCGTTAACCAGACACAAATCCACGCATTCTGGCGAGCGTCGATACGGCTGTGAGATCTGCGGGAAGCGTTTCAAACTCCCGGGAACTCTGAGATCTCACAAGAAAACCCACACGGTGCGCGAGAAAACGTTCCTCTGCCACATCTGCCGTAGACTTTCGTGTACCCACTGGCTGTTTGAATATGCACTCAGCGANTAAAAGGTCCAAGAAGTCCCACAATTGAATTTAATATTCATTTGACACGTTAACTATATCGTAAAGCGCTTCATTGGAGTAATTGTGGGATGATACATTAAATGTATCATCCCACAATTACTCCAATGAAGCGCTTTACGATATAGTTAACGTGTCAAATGAATATTAAATTCAATTGTGGGACTTCTTGGACCTTTTAGTAGGCTACTGAACAAACAATGAAAAATACATAAAAAATATGAAGAAAATCGATTATGGAATATCTTTTATAACACCCGCCATCAGGTGTGCCGCGTGAATAGCACATCTTATCAATGCAAACAGACCGTTATAGCACCGTCAGAAATCATGTTAAACCTGAGATTCGACTAGAGAACAAACAAAAAGCCGACATCGAGCTAATAGTA